AAAGGTAAGGCTGGAAAGGCATTCGTTGAAGCTGGATCAGGCAGCCAAATCAGAGGAGGAGGAGGAGGCATGGGAGTCAGGATCAGCATCAAAGCAGCCTGAGAGCTCCGAGGGGGAAGAGGGAATGGAACTGGCAGAGAGAGATAGAGGCGGAGCCTGGGCCATCGGTCAGCCCTCAGATGGACAGTCAACATCCCCCAGGTCTGGAGATAGTTGATGAGGAAGAGAAGGAACAGCTGGGTCCCGTGCCTGACGCACAGATGCACAGAAAGCAAAGGAGAGGAAAGCAGTGGAAATCTATGGGCCGGTCCTTGGGATGGAAGAGCTAACGCTGCTAAGCTAAGCCCCACCCTAGCTCTGTGGATGCACAGAAGGCAAAGGAGAGGAAAGCAGTGGAAATCTATGGGCCGGTCCTTGGGACGGAAGAGCCACCACTGCTAGCAAAGCCCCACCCCTATCTCTGTGGATCAAAGGCAGGGGGCAGAGATGAATAGATGTGGCAGACATCATCTCCCTGCCAGACAAATTTGTTAGCTTGCGGTGAGAGAGAAAAATTTTGCCAGGGCTGCCGGCGCTCCTAATAAAGGAAGCTTGGAGTTCACTTCAGAGGGGGTGTCGTGTTTGGGGAGCTGGGTCAAAACCAAACCAGTGCCTGATGTCCAAAAGCTTGGGGGGCCACTGAACTAGACAGCAGGGTGAGAGACCGTCCTGTAACTATCCGTCAAAACTTGTGACAATCTCTCTCAGGTTCAACACGGGCTCGGGGACAGGCGTGATCACCAGCAAGGTCCCTGTTGAGCCCGGCCATTGGCATGCGCTGGTGGTCAACCGCAACCGGAGAAACGGCGTGCTGTCGGTAGACGGGGAGCCCCACGTGCACGGCGAGAGCCCAAGTGGAACTGATGGGCTGAACCTCGACACCGATCTCTTTGTCGGAGGGGCCCCGGAAGACCAAATCGCTGTGTGAGTAATTTCAGAATGTGGTTGTAAGTTGAGGTCTACCTGAATTGCTCTCTTTAAGAACCAAAAGCGGAAGGGAAAAAAAAATCTAGCAGTAACTCAGCTGCTATTATGCAGGAAGAAAGGAAATGAATATACATCACGGTAATTAAAGCACATGAAAAAAAAACACGGGGGCCCACATCATATGAATACAGAACTAGGACAAATCTGCGAGCATCTCATCAAATCAAGGAATTAACAACAATAAATTGCTGCATTTGCTCATTTTTGCAGTCTTAATGAGCTTTTTAAAATCAACAGGGAGATTGCAATGTTTTTTTCTTACCCGTTCTCCCAACTGGATGCCCCTGACCTCATTTGCTTTCCCAAAGGGGCTGTGGATGTTGTTTTTTCACACCAGTGGTGAAATGCGACTGGTTGGGACCGGTTCACACAAACCAGTAGTAAAAATGCTTCCGGTTCGGGCCGGTTCGAACGAATCGGTAGTAAAAATGCTTCCGGTTCGGGCCGGTTCGAACGAAGCGGTAGTAAAAACGCTACCGGTTTGGTCGAATAGGTAGTTTAAAAAAAATACTTTAAAAAGTTTTTTTTTTAAAGCTCCAATTACACGCACAGCAGATTGTCAACCAGCTCATCGTCGGAACTTTTAAAAAACTTTTTAAAGCATTTTTTTAAATTACCAGTTCACAGTGGTGGGTTGCAGCCGGTACTCCCCGGTACGCGCATACCGGAGCCAGCCCAGAGCACTGGACACCGTTCCAGTAGAGTGCTCCGGAGGGCCCACCCACCCGTCCTCGCTTCTTACCATCCTTTTAGGTCTTCAGCACTTCCGCGCACACATACAGCACCTGTGTAATGCTCCGCTGAGCAGCTGGAATGTCGCGGAGGCTCGGGGAAGTGCCAAGACACATGCGCACACTTTCCGCGTGCTCTGCACGTGTCTACGTGGATGTCGACAAGCCCGTTCCAATCGTACCAGTTGGAAAGGGATTTGAAACCCACCACTGCCGGTTTGGTTAGCAAAATGCTAATAAACAGTTTTTTTAAAAGGTTCCGACGATCAGCTGAGAGAATCAGCGGCACCACGGCATCATGGGAACCTTTTTGTGTGTGTGAAGTCCAGCTGCTTTTGCATTGTGTGCGAATCAGTTGTGTCCCATACCTTGTCTGGGATTTAATCCCCATTGCTTTAAGTCTAGAAGAGGGATTTTAGTCACCCCTAGGCCATATAGTGAGACTCGGGTTCAAGGTGCTTTTGGGAAACCGAACTTTGGAAAGTTGAAATCCTGGGATAATTTCCTCGTTTGTCTCCCTCCTAGGGTGGCCGAGCGCACGTCCGTCACCGCTGGCCTGAAGGGCTGCATCCGCCTGCTGGACGTCAACAACCAGATGTACGACCTGCGGGAGAAAGGCGACGACGTGCTGTATGGCAGCGGGGTGGGGGAGTGTGGCAACAACCCTTGCCAGCCCAACCCCTGCCACCACGGCGGGCTCTGCCGCACTCTGGAGGCCGAGATGTTTCACTGCGAGTGTCTCAACGGTTACACAGGTGGGCAGGATGAGTGTGTGTGTGTGTGTGTGTGTAAGTGTCCCAAGGACCGGCCCATAGATTTCCACTGCTCTCCTCTGCCTTCTGCGCATCCACAGAGCTAGGGTGGGGCTTCGCTAGCAGCAGTGGCTCTCCCTTCCCAAGGACCGGCCCATAGATTTCCACTGCTCTCCTCTCCTCTGCCTTCTGCACATCCACAGAGCTAGGGTGGGGCTTCGCTAGCAGCAGTGGCTCTTCCTTCCCAAGGACCGGCCCATAGATTTCCACTGCTCTCCTCTCCTCTGCCTTCTGCACATCCACAGAGCTAGGGTGGGGCTTCGCTAGCAGCAGTGATTCTTCCTTCCCAAGGACCGGCCCATAGATTTCCACTGCTCTCCTCTCCTCTGCCTTCTGCACATCCACAGAGCTAGGGTGGGGCTTCGCTACCAGCAGTGGCTCTTCCTTCCCAAGGACCGGCCCATAGATTTCCACTGCTCTCCTCTCCTCTGCCTTCTGCGCATCCACAGAGCTAGGGTGGGGCTTCGCTACCAGCAGTGGCTCTTCCTTCCCAAGGACCGGCCCATAGATTTCCACTGC